TACGGATTGACACTCCGGGAAGGTATATTGTGACGCCACTTGTCTGTAATTGTACGAATGTGAATGCTTTTATGGAAAGTAGGCCTAGATGACAGTTGAATCAGGCGTACAATTTGCTCTGCCACCCAAATACGCAGGCTCTCCTTTTACTAGAGACGCGGATCCTTAGAAAATGAGCTTAGTGGCTAAGATGCTTTCTCTCCAATCCAGTGTCTTAGGGTCAAATCACACCAATATTTATTTTTTCCAACTAAAATAAACAATTTTAATTGTTAAAAAGAGAGAGAGAGTTAAAACTCTCTCTTAAAGAGTATCTAGATAATGTTTCTATCCTGTTTGGTAGAAGAAAAATAATAAATTGTGCCATTTATTGTCAATAATTTGTTTGATTCTTGTCTCCTATTTCCTCTGTTACATGCGATAACATATATTTCACGGGTTTCAGGACGACACAGGTAACAAATAACATGTTATAGGGCTATACATGTAAAGGGAACACTTTTTCTCAGTAACGACAGGGTTGTCCCGCACAGATACCAACATTCCTTTCAATCAATTTATATTGAGCCCAATAACCTCGCATATGAATCTTAACCGTTAAAGCTAATTTCTCACGTACGCTTTAGGTACTCTCAACTCCAATAAAATTGGCAATCATGGAATCAAGAATAGAAGACTACAAATTGAATTTATCCAGGTATTTTATTAGGTTGTGGACTGGTGAAGTCAATGAGATTTAAAATGCGATATTGCACCAGATCGTATAATAACAACATGGTAGAAACTGGGCTAGATATTTTTAACTACGGTATGTCATGAATAATCACAACACATGCAAAATGTCAAATTGAAAGAAAAAACCTGTTATATGGTTTATGATGTGCCTATATATGGTTATGATGTGATGTCATCATGTCCATATTTAGGCATGTCACCAGCGGTGACGAGGGGTCCGATGTGTCCGACGCAGGGGTCCAAACTAAAGGGCTGACGAAGCCTCGGTCGACAGCCTAGAATAAAAAATCCATTTGATAGGGTTCTTTGGGAGAGTTTTTATGGTTCAAAATGTGATTTTAGTCAACAATATTAGGGATTGGCAATCAAATTAATGTTATTTGGATAAGCAAATTATTATTTTTTAAATTTTCGGTCCGACGACCTAGTCGTTCGTTGGACGACAGAGGGGTCGAGGACTGTCCGACGGGGAAAATGCCCACCCTGCCCACCGCTGCATGTCACATGTTTTTGCCAATAAAAATTAATGTGACAGTGGAATTGAGCTTTAGTTACCATGAGATCAGGCATAATGTTATCCTCTGGTTCCTTTAATAAACCTATCTGGTTCAATAAAAAAAAAGGGGGGGGGGGATTATAAAATAAATGGGTGACAAAATAAGGTGTAGCCAGGTTATTGTTAATGTGATCATGTGACCCAGCCACGTGATCCACTCAGGTTATTGTTAATGGGATCATGTGACCAGCCACGTGATCCACCCTGTGTTCAAGTCATTATCCTGTAAAGGATATTCCTTCACTATTATACACTGAATGTATAAATGAATGGCCCTAAATGGGTGAATATGGACGAAAATGAATTAACGAAATAGTGTGTGAATGGATAATGAAATAGATAAATAATGACATAAATAAATACATAGAATAAATAAATAAATAAATATTTTTGATTGAGATAAATTGATGTTGAATCAGATCATAATGGGTAGGATAGGGCAGTCCTTTTAGTCATGAAAAATACATTAACCGGTATGCTTGGGTATAATGCAAAAATAATAAATATCAGGCACAGTTCATCGGCTCCATTAATATGCTTACGTCATCCTCTATCTTACCATTACTAACCTTTCCTTTTCAAAAATAATTATGTAGGCCTAATGTAACTTTGTACATTACAACTAGGCCTATTGCCCATCACTCGAAATATATTTTCTTCTGATAATGTCAAGTTATATCAATTTGCGAAGCTAGAATTTCATACTTCCCAAAAACGAAGGAAACACTTTACCGTGTTCAGCTAAGGTAAGAACACGCTGTTAGCATATTTGTGTCGACCAATGTCTGTCATAGCTGTCAAAACACCGCTGAGTTCCGTCAGATTATAAATTATTTCACGCGGATTTTGATAGTATGTTGAATGAAAATATAGCATCATTGTGTAGTGTTGTCGAGAGCTTATTGGTTACCATATTTGTAATAATTTGTCACTAAAGTTCCAGTAACGGTTCTATAAAATTGTCAACAGGGGTCCAATATACGATCGACAGGGGTTCAAACATAAGTGGGTACCTGATGCCTACGCTAAGGGTCTAATGCGGGTAAAACCCGTGGTTGGGTCACAAGGGGGGAAATTAAGGATGGTAAAATTGTGCTTTTTAGACCACAGTAGTAAACTGCAATCATAATACATTTAGTTGGATCAAGTTTATATTCTTTTATTCCGACAATGTCAAGTGGCATCCGACGGAAATAATCCATGTTTGTCTGCGGGAGGGGCGGGAGGAAATACCTCAACAGTTTAAATAGTAGCTTACTACTGTACTTGATAGAAGGTTGTGAACTGTATTTCATAGGATGGTCACAAAAGCAACTTCGGATTTCTTGACGTTTCGTGCAACCGCGCATAGAATGTGGGCCCATTTAGACCTCATCAGAGATTGGTAATTAAAATTGTTTGTATCGGCAAATTAATATTGTTTTAGTCTGACGATCTTGTCGTGGCGTTGGTCAACAAGGGGGTCATGCTTGTCCGACGGGTGGGGTGGAGAATTCGTAACGTCGGACAACAAGGGGAGGGGGAATGCTTGTCCAACGGGCGGAGTAGGCGAATTTCTCAATTCTCTGACCCACGCTGGCGCCGCTACTGAGCATACTGAGGGACAATACATCAATGTTTTAGTCAAAGTGAGTGTTCTTTCGCTACTGTGTACCAGTCTTACACCGCTCATAATGCGTAAGCTACGAACGACACAAGCGCGTCGATATTCGTGTACCGATCATGCGCATCGCGAGAGTCGGAAAAAAAGTACCAGTTGAATTACATCAGATTGCATTATAAACCTTACCGTACTCCCGCTAGGCCCACTCTAAATATAGTAACAATAATTGGATATGAGGACGAATAATGAGCTGCATTTCGTTTGTAGTCAAACCCGGTAAACCTATTTTCACGTTAAACCCAGCTGTCTCGAGAGAAATATCAACATTACTTCACTCCACAGAGCAGCAATGCAGACTGCGCTCTTATGGGATTTGTAAATGTTACTTTTGTCTATTGCTAGTAATAATAATCGCCCAGTGCCTTTTAAAAATATTCCCTTCATTATTTTTTTTTTTTAAATTTTCAATTACTCGGACATAGTGTGCGTTGAATGCAGGTCTGCCCGAGTTCAGTTCAATATTCTCTTCTCAGTTAAATCCTTTATTCTTGATTAATGTAATAGGCCTATTTGAATTAGAGTAGGCGTACGAAGTTTTACTGTTTCTAGACTCAAGAAATTGGAGAGACAGATTTCTAAATATCCGTGGCGAGACGGCTTTGCAATCTAATTTATTTATGTTTTTAAAGAATTCCGGTTGGCATACCATTCCAGTGATTCAGCGATTCCAGAATAAGCATATGTAACACCTATAACAATTCGTGACACAGAAAAAAGTTATGAATTTTCCAATTTCGAATACTGTAGTCACGAAATGGTACGGTACATTGTGTTATTTAACTGTTTTGAGATATCGTCTACTGTACTTCTCTTGTACATCCACAATTGGTGTACGCGATATTCAATTACATGGGGAAAATGCTGAGTTCGTCCTCCCATATCTGATTAACCTTAAAAACGACCGTCTGTCATAAAATCTGGTAAAGCTTAAAAGTCAATTATCACCGAAAAGCTCATTGGAATAATTTATTTCACTTCATTAGTTTTTGTTTTCAGAAAAAATTCAAGGACACGAGAAAATACATACAAATATACAGAAAAGAAGCAATCGTTAACAATCCTGAAATGGGGGAGGGGGCTCGATGATTAGGTGAAGGGGATCTAGCTCGCAAAATAAGGTGATTTGGGGTGATTTTTAACTACTTGACCGTGATTTTTTTTTTTTTTTTTGGAGGGTGGGGGATCCGACTTGGGGCGCGAGTATTTGGGGGTTTGGGAAAACACCTCTAATACGCCACTGCCCGACGGGATAACCAAAAAAAGTGAAGCAAGGTTAAAAACAATATATATAATATAGTATAAATTAAAATTATATAAAGCTCCATTGACAGTCAGATAGATTTTTTTTTATTGATTTGCAGGTCTTTAATACGAAATCACATTGGATTGTGTCTGTGTTCCGATTTCGGAACAATCCACGACGAAAATGCATTCGTTAAATATTTGTGGAGTCTAAAATTGAAAGCATTGGTTCGGAATTGCAATTCCCAATGAGGAAATGACTTTTGGAAAAAAAAAAATCGCTGTCCAAAGCCCAAATAAAAAAAACATGGTATTCGGCGAAATTCAAGCTAAGTTGAGTTTATATATTTGGAATTTCATTTCGTTTATTTTGTAAAATCTGGTAAAATACACAAAAAAAAAAAAAAAAAACCACAAAAATAACCGGTTACAATTTGGTAACGTGCGCTAATTTGAAATATACGCCTAAACAAGTTTATATAAATTATACTCTCCTTAACTTAGTTTTTTAATACTTTGTATATATTTTAAATCCTACCATGCTATGGTCAACCTGTTAGGGATTTCCACAAAAAAAAAAAAGGATAGGCCCTAGGCCTACTAGAAAGCGGGACGTCAATAAAATAGCTGGTTAGGTTCTGACACAAGAAATGCTAAAAAAAAGTTGGCATGTGTCTATGCCTAATATCACTGGTAGGATAATACGTGCTACAGACATAAGAGGACATAATATTGTAAATAAATACACGGTTGATAGGCCTAGTTAAAATTAATTTATTATTTCTGAGGCAATTATATTCTCACCACTTTTCCCGACTCCTCTTAATCCTGTAACAGCTATCTTGACTTCAGCATGGGTAGACGGTTTACGTCGTCTCCCGAACGCACTGTTGTTCATAATTTGCAATGTGGAGGTTCTCGATTTTAAGCAGTAGACCTAAATCCTCTTGCAAGGTGCAAAAAATCCAAATCTCAAAAAGGGTTTCCTTTTGAATCTACGATTGAGGGTATCTGTCTTCTGCTCATGATCTGTGATTTAGTGGACTTGGCCGACCTCACTCGAGCAAAGTAAGTACACACACATGAATGTTCCAAACTGAATTCGGAGGCGGAACTGCACTCTACTGTGAGTTGGTGGTAGATTATCAACTGAAGCCTTATACAAAAGGGCGCCATCAGAGACTTTGGATCGTATTCTTTCATGACTCGTGTCATCACGACGCAACATGAATTAATATCTTGTTATCAGTGCACATTTTAAACCCATTACAATTTATGGACATTCGCCAGATCCGGTAAAAGCCGCTTTAACACAGAATTGTCATCGAATTTGACCAACTTTCAAGACAGAACATCAGTCAGAGGAAACGTGGATGTGTAGCGTGCTTAAAATAATCATCCAATCGACTATATTCATCAAGTGCATTAGATGAGAGGTAATATATTTTGAAGAGAGATGCATGTAGGTTAATGAACAGACGAGAACACGTCAACTATAAATTGCTTCACATAAACCCTCGTCATCAGCAGAATAATTTTATAATCAGAATAACTTAAATAATGATATACAACAAATTAAAGCATGTGGATCCATGACCTGGGAATAGCGTTTCGTATCTGAAAAAAAAAACAGTGGATCAATATGAAATGTTAAGCCGGGCCGGCACTCACTGCGCACGACGGTCGTCGGCCGACGCGAACGCAACGACGCGCGCGCAACACTCACAAGGAACGCAGTTTTGGATTCGTCGTGCGGCGGTCGTACGACGCAGTCTGAGTGCCCGGCATTAGACTACATTATAATTTAAAACCACCAAACCAGGGTACAGTGAAACTAATAATTCCACTGTTCCCTAATCAAACTCAAATAAATCAAAATAGTCTTCCAGAACACCCGAGCCGCTGCTTTGGGTTTTTTCCCCAAAAGCTTCCTGGACCTTGATCGAAGGGCCCTTCTAATCGGCCCTCTGGCATCAGGGGTCAGTTTTTGCTTTTAAAATGTAATACAAATTAAAAATGGTACATAACAGTACAAACACTACCGAATAAACTGAACACAAATTACACCATTATTGTATACATCAGATAATCCTGCATACTTAACACAGGCCTTTACATAATATAGGAATATAAATCCAGGTAGCCTGAAATAAGCTATATTATTTACGAATATAATATCACATATAAATATATATACATGTATATATATATAATTCACAAATTCACGGACTAGTGCTGTCTCGTTATAATTTCGTAGGACGCGTTAAGAATGACAAAATATTCTCTGCATCTACTGGAATCGAGCCACATAGCTTGTATTCCACTATTTGCATTCACACCTGGGCTGTGTATATATATTGCCTTGGTTTGGCTCTGTTGTAAAATTATTATTTCTTTCTCAAAGATAAATTTAATTCATTTTATCTGATTACTAGACAGTCTACATCTCAACATCACATTCTTTTGTGATAGCATCCCAAGCAAGAGCCCAAGATGGCTTTACTTTATTTTTACCTCACACAATTGCTATTTTTTGTCAGCACCTGGATATTGCTCGTAGAATTTTATTTTTGATTTATCTCTCCCTATTCCGACAATCTTTTAGAAATACAGTTCACAAAAATAGCTTGCTGATCAGACTAGGAATTGCTGTAACTCTGAAAATGAAATTATTCACTGACAATACAGTATGATCATGTGGTTGGTCCCATATACTGTATGCTTTCACAACAGGGTCATGTTAATGGTCTGTCTCTTATACACATCTAGATGTGTATAAGAGACAGAGATTATACTAGTACTTTTAATCATTACGTCTGGCTTATAACCATTCCATACAGCAACATTGTGTAAGTTACGTTTAAAATTGGGCGCTATTTGGTGTCCAGAGGTGCTGGTAGTGATGGGGAAAGTGGAAGGGTATCCAGGGGCAGCGCTAGCAGGGTCCGAGGGAAAAGGACCCCCGTCGGTGACCTCTGGATCCCCCGCTTGGACCCCCTGTAGGGGAATTTCCAGCAAGGTCGTCGGGGAAAAATCAAATCCTAGATGGCCGAAAGTACAATTCAAACATGCCTTGCTATAGTGTCAAATTTAAAGGATTAAAAACTGTTTAGTGCGAGCAGTGAGTGTGTGAAGAGTTGTTACTATTTCGATCGTATGGGTTGCAGTCAGTGGTGGCGCCAATTCTTCCCACATGGGGTTAGTATCCAGGACAGGGGGACTCTTAACTTGGATGGTTTTCTATAATTATCCTTTTTAAATAAATAATCCCATAATTAACAGAAAAAGAGGAGTAGTATAACCCCCTTTTCCATTTTCCTGGCGATGTGGGAAAATCATTTGTACAACATAGGCCTATCAATTTCTTTTTTCTTGATCCTGGCTGTAACGAAAAGTTAAATTAAAATTTCACGAACTGACAAAAAAAACCTCACACAGATCTTTGATCCATCGTCAGGAACTATTGATGCCACCACTGGTGGTTATAATATAATGAATTAAAAAGGTAAATATTATTAGCATATCAGATTATGGTTGATTATGCTAAAAACAAGATTAAACCCATACAGAAATTAAAATCTGGAAAGAAACAAGAGCTACGGTATTGTTAGTAGCTCACACTCCTACCAAGTAAACTAGTACAGTACTGTAGTAGTAAATCGTCGTTTGGTGCCTAGATTCGCTTGCTGTAGTTTGGCTTTGCTCGGTTCGGCTCTGCTCGATGTTAGGGCTATCATATATTAATGGTTTATATATTAAAAGTAGCCTAGTTTAGGTTATTAGGAACACTTTAGAATCAGTGACACGCTCTTTTCCGAGTGGTGCATCCAATAGGCATATGCAGACTGAACAATCTTAATAAATCTAATTCAATAAAACGAATGATATAAAAAAACAAACTTAGCTACAAATCATCCTAATTCAAATTCAAATGACATTTATTTAATGATGGAAATAATAATAGAATACAAATAACTTAACCACCACCATTAGGATCATGAGTAGAAGTAAAAAACTTGTCTCGTCATGACCCCCTCCCACCCAAAAAAATTAATTAATTAATTAAAAAAATAAAAAATAAATAAATAATTTTGATAATTATAACTAAAACTTGAAACTTAAAGCTACCGACAACATAATCATGAATGAAATACCACAGGCCTAGATACAACTGAATATTAAGTTTTGGAGCGTTACTGCACCGTACATGTCTTTACATTTACAAAGGTCCGATATACTAATGGCTCTATTGATTGATGTATAATTCGGACCGAAGTCGCCATTCTTTTTGTTAGATATTGTCTTTAGCTCTTATCTACAATTTGACCTAAAGTTAGATCTACTAAAGTTATGAGTATGATCAACAAAGTTATAGTCAAATGCATTTACAATTCATTACCATACAATGAACTTTGAATAATAAATGTAAAGTGTAAAGTACCGGTACTTTACACTCAAACAAAAGGAATCCGTACTGTTTTTTTTTTCTTTTTAATTATTATTGTTTTTGGTATCTCTGTTTACAAAAAATCCAATTGGCAACGAAGACTTTCTGGCTTCGAGAGACAGTTCGATTGTATTTTATTTTTATATTTCATTAAGTTGGTAACGTAATAATATGACTTGGTTCGAATTTAGGGGCTTCTTTAAAAATTACACATGGTAATTGTAGATTTTTGTTGAGCCCTAGCTAATTGTTATTTTCGTTATTTATTAATTAAACGTTTTGACCAACCATCCTATATAAAGTGGGTTCGCTATTCGCTATTATTAAAAAAATGAATGTCGCCCTCAAACACTGTTGCCCTTAAGAACGACTGTAAAAAAAAGACTACGACATTAGACTCCTAGCTGGTAATCATCCGGGAGCTTGGCGGGCTGGTAGGTGTTTGTGAAAGTTCTTAGGAGTAGCCTGTATTATTGATTGTTTATAAACAAAATTAAAGCATAAAGAAGAAAACAATCAGCGTAAGTTTTGTCTACAATGTCGAAAGAAGCAAGGCCAGAGTTGTTTTCGGTACGTAAGATTTAGTATAGGCCTAAGTTTACATTGTTTTTGGGACTCTCCTGTTTTGTGTTGATGCTCAGAGCAGCAGCGTGCAAATAGCGCTCTCTCTGCTCTGCCTTTCCGCTGTTTGATTTATTGTGTTACCGATGCCTAGGCCTAACTAAGGCTAGCTGAACTTGTGGTTTGTTATTCCCCATACAATTAATATTATATACGGACAAAATGCGAGTGTTTATTCTTTAATTTCGAAATAATATAACGAAATGAATGTAGGAAGGAAATGTCTACTGTTGGCCTACATAATGCATGCATGCTTCCGAATTGTTTTGTGTGTGAGTGTGTTTTTGTTTTGGGTTTTTTTTTGGTTTTTTTTGCTTTGTTTTCTACTCCACCAGCGGCTGCATTGGTTTTCAATTCCGGTGATTTTACAAACAAAATGTTAACAATGCCCAGGGCCTAGGCCCTAGCCTATCTATACATCTGCCTTATGCCCTAGCTAGGAAGGCCTAGTATTATATAGGCTATATGAGTGAGAAGAGGGTGCTACACTCCAGTAGCTAGGCCAAGCAAGGGTCTGAGGTGTTTGTTCTAAGCTATGCAATTTGCAATTGAATTAAGATTGTTACAGTTTTATCAAATCTATTCTTATGGGCAGTCTTTTTGATGTGTAAGACCATTCCGTCCACAAAAAGTTTGGCGTTTGAGTGGAATACATTTTGAATTGTATGTTTTCAGTCGATTCAATTAATTAATTGAATGAAGGACTATTAAAATTCATTACCCCAGTCTAATTATAAAGTATGTTGTGACTTGCAGTACAAATAATAAAAGTCTGTAAGAAAATTTTACTTTGAGCGGGTACTTGGTATTCAGGAAACCCGCAAAGGAGTAAGCCTTTGAATAAATGATTTAAAGTTGACTAGGTCTCAACATGACTCCCAAGGTAGACCCGTTTAAATTTATATATAATGTTTAAATTTTAAAATTTACAGTTATTGTACTAAATTGCATCAGTGTTTTCAAGTGGAAGTTAAACGAGCACTGGAAGAATAATTTTAAATGTTCTTTTCTAGTGTATTGAGTCCGTTTAATAGGGTAGGAGGTGTTGGTTTGCGGCCGAAACAAATAACATTCTAGCTGTTAAGGGGTGTGGATACTGTCTGTAGGCTAGGAGGGGTGTGGATAGGCTACAGTAGGCCTTTGAATTCAATACATATTTTACAGGGCATGGTTATTTTTCATTTTACACATATTCTCTTTGTTGATTGGTAGAGCTGTCAAACAACAGTAGGCCTAAAATACTGTACCATCCAAACAAAGGAAGTCAATTATCATGGTCCGAATGATACAGAAAGGAAAAGTTATGTACCTGTACAGTATAATTAAATTACAGTATACTGTAAGAGTTGTGAAGTTATTTATGACCGACAGAAAAATTATTAAATTATCGCTCTTTCAATAATTATTTTTAAATGCAAGACCGGCATTTTTCTACTGTAGATGTCAAACGTTCACAGAGAGAAGACAACTTTGAATGCATGATTGAATTACTGAATTCATAAAATTATTATTTCTTTCTCAAAGATAAATTTAATTCATTTTATCTGATTACTAGACAGTCTACATCTCAACATCACATTCTTTTGTGATAGCATCCCAAGCAAGAGCCCAAGATGGCTTTACTTTATTTTTACCTCACACAATTGCTATTTTTTGTCAGCACCTGGATATTGCTCGTAGAATTTTATTTTTGATTTATCTCTCCCTATTCCGACAATCTTTTAGAAATACAGTTCACAAAAATAGCTTGCTGATCAGACTAGGAATTGCTGTAACTCTGAAAATGAAATTATTCACTGACAATACAGTATGATCATGTGGTTGGTCCCATATACTGTATGCTTTCACAACAGGGTCATGTTAATGGTTGTATGACAAGTACTCTTTGATTTATGGATGATTGAGTTGATCAATTATTATTTATATTGATTTTATAGGGATGGGGTTACATACCAGACAAAGTGAAAAAGGCACAAAAGAAAGTCGAGTCTTCACCATACGATGTAGATGCATGGAGTGTACTGTTACGAGAAGCAGCTGTAAGCCATTTTAATTTACATTAAAGTGTTTAAACTGATAAATTCATGTTGTTAAAAGACATCAGTTCCCAAATTTAAATATAGCATTATTAAAGGGTAAATTTATTTACAGCCATTTTCCAATCAAAATATAAGTTTTTAACACATGATTAAGTTAGTTATTTAATAAAAAATATTTCTTAAAATTGTAAAATACAGTTAAAATAGACTTAAAATTAATAATGATGCGTTGAGAAGGTTTAATAAATTATTGCTCAATTAAAAGAATATTAAATGAGATACTATAATATAGGTTTCACTCTTCATACAATGCTGTTAATGTCACTGTGTAACAGGCCTGCTGAGTAAACACAATCAAGTGTTTAACTGGATTTTTTACATTAAGGCAGATATAATTATTATTAAGCAGTATTATAGTAAAGCAAAAGTACTGTAGAACTTAAAGATAGTTGTTTATCTAGTTCTACTTTTAATTACTGTTTATGATAAAATACTGTAGCGCTGCTCATCATATTAATTAATATTATGAATAATAATTGTTTTTAATACATCCACAGAATCAACCAGTGGAGAAGGCAAGACCATTGTATGAGCAACTGGTTGCTACGTTTCCTAACTCAGGGAGGTACTGGAAGGCTTACACTGACCAAGAGGTTACTAGCACACTTTATTTTACTTTCTTGCTAATGATTAAATTAATACTTAAGATTTACAGTCAAACTTGAAGGAAGAATCTAAATGTGCGCATTAATGACAGATCTTTGCATTGAGCTTACTTTTGAAATTACACATTTTAAGAAAGTCAAATAATTAATTTATCTAAACAAGGAAGAATAGAACAACAAACTAAAACATTGGTAATGTAGTTGATAATTGCTAGATAGCATGATAAGCACATTGACTAATAAATTTCTACCTTCAATTGTTGACCTGGTGTTGATTTTCATGTTCAGAGATATTTTTATATATATTTTGATGCTAGAATGGGTGTTTATTGGCCATCACAGAATTGGCATGCATTATCTGTTCATGCTTAAGTCTGTGATCATTGGCATTCGCACAGTAAATGAGTCTTACTGACTGATTTGTGTACTGCGTTTTCTTTGTTGTCTCTTTTTATTGGACAGTTTTCAATGAAGTCGAGAAAGAGAGAAGAGGTGATCCAATTAGTGAGAGGTTTGTTTGAAGACTGGGAGGTGAATGAAGATTGAAAGTTGAGTGCTTGTATGTACGTGGAAGAAAGTTGAAATGTGATAAAAATATTTTATTAAAATAATTATAATCTTTTTTTGTCTTTATTCTAATTGGAAATCAGAAATTTGGGCTGGGGACCTGCCAAAGCCGCAGTGCAGTGCCATCTGACTTAACTACAACATATAACAGACACACATGAATACAAATATTCTCCTTAAATCGCCAAACTCTAAATATGAGGGTTATTCGAGAAGCAAAGCAATCAGATTCCAATTAAAACCTGACGTTGGCCGGGTTTGGACTGGAGTCATCAGCACAATAAACAAGAACAATATCTCAGCCAACCACTCTTTAAAGTACTGTAATTATAATTAAATAATTCTGAGCTACAAAATAGCAATAAGACTAATGGATTTTAATTAAAACAACTAAGGTAATACTAATACTACATTAATATGTGTAAACCAATGTAGATAACATAAACAAATAAAAATTATAAATGCTGCAGAAGAATCGTATAAAAAAATATGAAAGATGTGAAAAGGAAGAGGGTGTTTGCATGAATGCTTGTTGTAGTATGTTGGATGGAAGTGGTGGCTGCTTGTATCCTAGATAATCTGATTAAATGCCCTAATTATCACTAATACAGGTCATCTTCAGATGAGATCAATTACAGTGTCAAACACATGACAAGTCTACACCACCTGGCAAGAACTATGTATTGTTGACATGCTCTCAGGGACAGATGCTCCTTCACAAAACAAACTTTAAATTCTAATTCATTAACTTTAAGTTATGTTCCAAGTGCATTAACCTAGTCTGTACTATAATTCACTTTTACTCTATAGCACACTTCTATTACAAGAAAGTTGGTTTGTACAGTACATTCATTTCTTGCATTTCCATCCTTATTAACTCTTAGCAAATTTTCCATGTTTTACTTTTTTTAGTTCTTGGCTGTTATTCATTTCATACACCTTTTCATTTTTAGGGTAACATATAATAAACATAAGCCACAGTGATGTCTTTGAGTATCTTGTGTCTAATTTGCGCCCAAGAGTGGAAGGGAAGTAAAAGCACATGAGTACCGAATGGTATGTTTTGTACTGTATGCATTGATTATGATGGTGTGATTTCTGAATGAATTGTGTGGACTGGAATATTTTCTTGTTTTATTTTATCTTGATCCTCCTAACATACAAATTCTTTTTTTCAGCAAGCATGTTTATGGTGTTAGACATATTACAGTAATGTCATTTTCAATTGGATTAATTTAATTATTGCTACAATTTTTTATGAATAAATTATGTGGCCTTGCTACAATACAGTAGTGATTTTTTTATGGAAGGAAAATCTAAACAGTAATATTATTAGCAAGGACATGCATGTCAAACAGGTGCTGTTGTGATGGGTACAGTACATCATTTGTCTCTTTTCCAAGCCGCAGTGCAACTTGCCATTAATAAATTGTATTATCACTTTCATTAATATTTTATCTTATGTGAAACATAGTTAAACTTTACATATATGGTTTTTAAGGGTTATACGACAATGTATTATTAAGATTATTTTAGATAATTTGAAATTTTGTTGATAAGGTTTAACTCTTTAATTACACATGTTGATTAAAAAAGCCAATTGAGGTTTATTATGAGAAATTGGCAGATACATTTTTTGTGTTATTAAAACTGTTGTACATAGAGGTGTTATACATTGTGATTGATTTAGTGTATTAGCACAAGATCATTTTACAGACATACGTACAGTATATACACACAACAGTATAAGGTAAGTTCCACCATGAAGGTATATGGTACCACAATTATATACAGTTTACATTACAAATATATAGTGAGTCTGTAATTGTATACCAGCATGTATAACAGTGCCTTGTTTTGTTTCAGTGCAAAACATTTAGTGATAATATTATTACCAATGTTATAACTAAAGGTGTAAATTTGTTTCATCTTCAGTATTTACTTTGCCCCACAATAACAAATCTGGGTCACCCTTTTGTTTGGGTTGGAACATTCCAGTCATTATTTTTAATTCCTCATTGCTAACAACCCCTCCATGCCACTGCTATAAAAGCCTTGTAATTCCTGATTTGTCTGAAGAAACTATTGCTGCGAGTATATATAAAAAGTGTGAGAATGAATGGTAAAAGATATAGGTCAACTACAGTACAAATACATTTTTAATATGTGGTTGTGTTCAGCAGTGACCTCCTAATAGTTGAAAATACAATGGGGTCTAAAAATAATCAGCCATATTGAACATGGTTTGTGTATTGCTATTCCATAGTACGATGGTTTTTAGATTAAAATAAAATTGTACAATTATTTCTTTATACAAATTACAATAATAGGATATCTTGAGGTGTGTCCAGTGGTGCATACTGTATGTCTCTTCCCCCACCCCAAAAAAGTTTCCTCCTTTTATAAAATATCGCGCTTGTGGTTGAAAATGACCTCATTTTGTGAACTAGGTTCCCCCATCTCTTAATCATCAAACTTCACCTTCATATGCCCTTCCCCTTTCAAGACTTGTGTATATACACCCCTTAAAGATGTATTGTCCCATGCTAAATACCAAAAATTCATAAAAATATTTTTTGAAATTAATTGCCCATTTGAAGTAACATAAAAGTTAACTTGAACATAGAAATTAGTGTATTTAAAAAATGTCTACCCATCAGTTTACAGCGAAAAATGATAGAAACACTTCCAGTCACTGGAAGTGTTTTATTATTTTTATTATAATTTTTTGGTTAAAAAATCAATGTACAAATTTTTTTAATTCAATAATTTTTATGCACAAGTTCATAATTTGTATGCTATTGCAATATGAGCAAGTTTGTTTCAAAATAATTTTTTATTATTTTTTGACATCAGCAAGGGACAATACATCTTTAAGAATGTGCATGAAGCTTTGGTCATTTTTAAAAACGAAGTGTACTGTTCCATGAGAATCAGTGGCACCAGAGGGAGGGGAGGTTGCGGAAAATTGCGCTACTTCTGTGGGGAAAACATGATCTCTGACCCCATGTCACCGGATGCCACTTGATGTTGGACTAAAAATAACTTGCAGATCTTACCCAAGTTATTGTGAAAGCTGTTCCAAATTGTGTGGATTAAAAACACATTTTGTTATTCAAGCAATAAAAGTGCTTTCCCAGAGGCTATAGACGCCCAATTGGTTTGGATCCAGCAATTTTTTGAGCCACCACTGGCTTCGCTTCTCTACCATCTACATTAACTGCCAGTAAAGGTATTTTGGAACTTCAGTATTAAGCCAAAAACAATAATTTGTTGCCCTGATCGACCTCAAAAATCTAGTAATGTACTGTATTAGCTCATGTTTTTACTTGGTTAATAGGATCTGGAGCTAAAAAAGCTCAAGTTTCCTTCCAAGGTTTTGATGCACACACCATCTTCCAGGATCCTTAAATTTGCCAAAGTTTTCTTTTTTATTTGGCATCTCTTCTCTCTTCTTTTCCAGTTATTTGCATCACTCTTTATCTTTATCAGTATTCTTTAATCCGTGGTTTACATTTGGGGACTTCGTATTTATTGTGCTTCTTTGCCTTTCTTGACCTTTTGTACAGTAGGTATCTGTACCTCACCCATACTACCAACATTTACTTGCCATTGACAAATGACTAGTATTGTTTCGGTTTTCTGGTCTACAGTTCTTAGCCTATACTTGTCAATTTTGTAACCAACTTTTCCTTACCCCATATTTTTACAACTTCTCATCCTGTTTATTTTTCAGCGATTCTGCGTGCAAGTTAGGTAGATAAGAGCACACTGGTTGTAATTATTATTAAAATGTACTGCACATCTAAATATGGCCTGGGACACAGAGTGAACGAAGGTTTCACATCGCAGTCGCTCCCCTTATAGAATATAATATTTTAGTCTGTCTTGGCTACTGTATGTGAAATTTATACACAGAACAACTGAAAAAACTTCATATATTTCGTTAACATCGTAGGCCTATTTGAAGCTTTGTTGTACGGAGGCTGGATAAAGAACTGAATATTCAGCATTTTCCCGCTAAGTAGACCCACACAAAACAACTACCACCATTTGTTTGTATAGAAACACGACCGAGTACGCGTTTTTTAAGGTTGTGGGGTAAGTGCGTGTTGCTAGCAGCCCCGCCTGTTGAATAACACGTTTTGATTGGTCAGTTAATTTGACTTTTCCGAAGCGTCCATTTGGTTGTGTCATTTCCGACTGTCACATCATAGTCGATATATACGTGTAGACCAACAACATGTGTGTTGCGCTCGCTATGCTATACTGTATGTGCAGCTTAAAGTCGTCAGTAGGATAATGAATATGAATTACACAACACGTGTAATAAGATTGCCCGTGCTTTTACCTCGTGTGCGTTTTAATTAATTTAACCGATACCAACATTGATCTCAATTGAACAACAGAACTTATCTTAG